TGAACATTAATAACAGACTCAAGGTCGCACGATCCAAACAACAGTTAGAAACAACCAATCTTCATGATTTCCTGACTAGCAATTAAACAATAGCAATTATATATGTCATGTATATCATCAATAACCCTGAATGTATAGCCAATACGCCGGTAATTTGCTTCGCTTGCTTCATCTAAATCCACTCTTCCTCTTATTCTTCTTCGCCTTCTTCCTATCCCCGAATATGCCCGATACAGGTTGGCTCATAGCAAACGATGGCCCAAAGAGCCCTTGACTCTGTGAAGACGAAGGTATGCCTTGCTGACTCGACATGGTTTGAGGCGTGGGAGCAACAGATATCGGCGGCAGTGCCATGGGCTCTTCTCTCCGAGGACGCATCGGCGAAGACATGGGGTTGCCCGCTGTAGTTCGCACCGAAGTCCTGATGGCCTTGGGGTCTCTGCCCTCTCTCATAAATGGTGGAAGTTTGTACTTGTCGTTCTGGGCCTTGCGCTTGTTTTCGATCCTTTGCAGTCGTGACCTTGCGTCGTCAAACTTCCTATCAGTAGCAACGGCAACACTAGATATGTAGTCATCTGTACTGATACCACGCTCAGTAGGCCAGTATGACAGCACCTTAGACGGTTTGACATTTTCCATCTTGTCCAATCTCAATGATGGTGCGAGGAGCTGTAATCGTCTGATCGCTGCATCATTGGCACTGTTTGGTGTCGCAACGAGAGGTGATGAAGGAATTCCACCTTCTGATGACTGCGATGACTTGTTTCGAACTACACTCGACTGAGTGGGCTGAGCTCGTCCATCTTCCTCCTGGCTTGCCGGCCCTAGAAGAGGCACATCTTGAACCATGACTCCGGCTGTTGCTAGAAACATATCCTTAGCTAGGTCTGCGATCCATCCCCTTATTATTTCCTCCTCTTGCTGGGGTATTCTTCCTTCCAGCGGATCAAGCCAAAGGTCAACGTATGTTTGGTTAAGATGCGACAAGCTGACGAGTTCTCGAATCCACTCCTGCGAAGTCTGTCTTCCGAGTTGCGTCACGACTGTTTGTCCATCACAACCTGCAAACAAATCGAGCATATCGGGTTGTGTTTCGTGAAAACCATTCCGTAAATCTATCGGACCAAGCTCGTTGCCGATTTCTTTCCAAGTCTTTAGGGGCAGTCTCCCTTCAGCCACCCCCTCAGTGATATTCTCTTGAATAGCTGAAAGTAAAGCGGGCGGTATATCATGAAGGCTGTCTGAAATAGCCAGCAACGTCTTCTGAAGAGAACGGCACAAGCCATCCAGGTTCAAGCTTACAGGGCCCAAGACCGCAGATACTCTGCTCTTTATCTTGTCGAGGTCCTTGGATCGATTGTTATGTTTTACCACATGTTTGATGTTATCATCAGCCATGCCTTCGGGAAGCACAAACGTGCTTCCCATATGTCTAATGAACTGTTTTCGTTTCTTTTTCCAGCGCTGTGCTTCGTCTGACTTGTTACGACCAACCCGCCCACTAGGTAACGTAATCTGCATATTGCGATCTTTGACTGAGACACAGATGCAGTATTGCACACCCAAATTCTTGCTCAGGATGCTGCCTTGGTAGAACTGAACTCCTGCACGGTAATAATCGGCCCCAAAGCCAGACGAGGCGTCCCCATCCCGCGTGAGCTTGACCGGATGGATTTCGAGTGATTGAATATCAACACTGGCCGATCCAGCATTTTGAGGAAGAGTAAGCGTGTCACGATGCCAATAAGGAAGGCCGCTTGACTTTGACTGTCCGAACCAGTAGGTTTGAAGTTGTCTATGAGTCGGAGAAAAGACGAACACCATAGCAGTCTCTTGTCCACCTTCTGAAGTAAGGCATGTTGTCATTCGCAATCCTTCTCTGTCCAACAAACGAGGGCTGGATATCAGAATAGTCGGGTTTGGTCCTACCTCCTCCTCCAGCGTGCTTTTCGCAAATAAGTCAATCCAGTAAATGGTGCGCATAGTTAAGACGAATATGTGATTCTGGTTGGCTGGGCTGACTCTGATGTCAAGAATTGCATCAGGCTTGGACTTTGGACGCGCCAACAACGAGAGTCGAGGCAGAGCTATGTGCGACACAAGATCTATGACCTCGTACTTCTCCCTGTTCCAGATCAGTAGATGACTGAATCGTTGTGCGTATCCTTTAGAGTCACCAGCACTTTGTGAACCACCCTCCCAGAAACTGTCCACTTTGGCTGTGCCGACAAATAGAACCCCGTGCTTTTCAGCGGGATGCTCTGTCGTAGAGGGCAATTCATTCAATAATCCATCCGAGATATGTCCGCACGAGTAAGGTAGAAGTCGTGTTTTCAGCTTGTTTCCCCCTACGATGTCCCATATGGACCAATATCCGCATTCGTCAATGATGGCGATCTGTGGGGGAAGGCCCTTAGAATTTGGATTGAATGCGACATCTACCTGCGCGTTACCGCCAGTCGACTTATGGGAGACGGTCAGGATCGGGTTAGGATCGATTCGCGACAGCCGTGGTTGATGAATGTCGGAATCGGAAGCGGACGATTGAGCCACTGGAACCTTGTGATACTCTGGATGGAGAATGGTGGTCGAAGTTTGCTTTTGAACGATGAGCCAGCGAATGGAATCATATCGTGTGAGACTGGTTGCGAATTTGACTTGGGAGATTGGCAGACCATCGCTGGCCCAAATGGCCTCTTCCTCGGGATCATCGGGGTCTATCACAGAAGGCTGAAGAGTCGTGCGCTTGTCATTTCCCCATTTCCATTTCGATTGATCGATCCGAGCCAGTCTAAGCAGCTCTCCTGACTCTCCCGTAGCAGCCGCAAGCATGGGTGATCCAGTGAGTCTTGAATGATCCGACACATTCGTCATTTGGCCGATAGCAAGTAACGGTTGATCGCTAACTTCTCCCTCGACCTTTGAGTAGCGATTCATGTTCTCCTGCAGAAGCTCGGATAGTGCTGAGTTACCCATGAAGGCTTCGGGGTGAGCCTGAAGAAGCCATCGCTTTTGAACTCTTCTTTCCTGCCACAGGTTGGACGAGATCTCTGGAGAAGGAGTTTTTGAAGGCGGGTACAACTCCGCTGAAGATCCAACAATCTTGAAGTGTGGCGCTAGACATCTTTGTCAATATTGCGATGCGCGCAAGGGATTGTGTAGAAACTCACCTTCAGCAGTTACGCGACTGGAGTGAAAAGTCCCAGGTTGCGCTGTCGCATTCTCAGGTGGTATATAAGTAAGACTTCCTACGTGACCGTGGATCAGGTCCGTAAGTCGCCTGGTCTCAGCCATTTGGCCCAAGTCTTGATTTCCAATGTGCTGAAAGTTTGGCCGATTTTCCTTTCTTCATCGCGAGATGGGCTAGTACAGTCGCAAGAGAGTCTCGAGCGGGAGTCAATGGTATTTGAAGCACTAAAAAGGCATCCTATGTCATATGAGGTCATGCGATGAAGAGTTTGGCTAGGCAGGTAGAAATATATCTATCGAAGAGAAGTATCGGTGAGTATTAGTAGACGTTGAAGTAAGAGACGCTCAGCGCATGCGATGAGAAGTGAAGCTTTCGACGGCCCCACGTGGCGGTGCAAGCGAGGTGCGCCACATTTAATAGTCGACCGAGCAACGCAATTTCGCGGTGTAAATACATACACACATACATGAACAAGGCCCAATTTGTGTCTTCATGATCAAGCCCATTTACCCTACGGAACAAGAATTTGAAGTCGAAAACAATACCAGCCAAGCAACTTCACGACCCTAAGTCATACGCAATGGCTACCGACTTTCAGTCCTCCCTATCTGCCAGCATGCGACAGAGCATGGCCCCAGTCGGCCCCTCTGTCGCAAACCAGCTGCCCAACATCAACTTTGGCTTCGATGACTTGCGCGATCGCATGGCAAAGTTCACAGCTCGATTTGATGCGTTCATTGAAGAGGGCCGTAAGCGCGTCCTCGAAGAGCGCAACCAGTTTCGCATGAACGTCGCTGAGCTACAAGGTATGCTCTAAACCGCCGGCGCATAAGGTATCTACTAACCACTTCATCAGAGGATCAACGTATGAAGAAGCGAGACATCGAGATCATTCAAGTCAAGACCTCGACGCACCAACAAACAATCGAGAAGGAAGAGGCGGAAACGCGCGAGATGGAGAGCGCTATTAACTCCCTCGCTGCCCAGCGCGATAACCACCTCGCAACCCGCAACAGTCTCAAGGCTGAAATCGCACAAACACAAGCCGAGATCGAAGCCCGGCTTGCCGCGCAGCGCGAATACGCTCAACAGCAACAAGCACAGTCTCGTTTCAACGTCCCCGAGTTGGACTTTTGGATCACCAACCTATGCCTCAAGATTGAAGGCGCTGGCCATGACGATCGTCTCAAGTTTGTGTACACGCATATTGATGAGAAGGACTGGGAACGTGAGGCTTGGTTTGAACTTGTTACAAGCTCGCGCGATTACGATGTGAAGCACTGCAGACCCAAGATTGAGCGGGAGAAGGTTGAGAGGGTGCTGGACAAGCTGAATGAGTCGAGGGAATTGGTTGTTCTGCTGAAGGGAATGAGAGAGCTGTTTGTGGAGGCTATGAAGACCTAACGAACCGATTTATGTATTATGCTGCGACGACCGCTTATGTGCGATAATGCTGTTTTTAAGAACGATAATTATACCTTGGTTGATTGTTTTGTTTAAAATCACCTTTGAATTTATCTCAGAGATCTTGGGGCTGTCTGTTCAAGTAGCCTCCTAGATAAGTAGCAATTAAATCTACCAACACGATCGGTTGAAAATAAAAAATTCAAGAAGATTATCATGTCGAAACCTCCTTCTAAAAGCACCGGTAACCACGTCGTTTTTACAACATTTTGCTCTTTATTGTGTGTCATGATTTGCATCAGCCCAAACCGAACCGCGACCCGCGTCTCCCCGCCATGATCAATCAACCTCCACCCTTCACTTCCCTCTCTTCATACACCATATCAAAAACCCACCAACCATCATCATGCCTGAACCAGATAAGCACGCCGCTGCGCAACAAGCCGTAGATATTCTCCATGAGATCTCTACTATCCTAGTACGATAGCTCATCCATAAACCAACACGACTGAAGACCCGACCGCTGACTTGAGATCGCAGAACTGTCACCTTGATCGCCGAACTCTATCAATCTGCATCTCGATGATTGAGCGCGGAGTGAACCCAGAGGCTTTAGCGGTACGTAATTGAACTTTACGTGTCTCCGATTTGAAAGAGTGTCTAATATGTGTTTTCGTGCAGCAAGTTATCAAGGAACTCAGACAAGAGGCCCAGCAACCTGCAGCCACGGCAAGGCGACGTTGAGTGAGCGGAATGAACTCTGTACAGAGATTTGACACGAATTGAATTTGGAATTATGGAAATATTGTCTCGGTAGGCGTTCATAGGGAAATGCTTTCACTTAACCGGCGCAAAAGACTCTGCCAGAATAGAGATTTTGTTGTACTCATGCCCTAGGTACATATTCAAACAATCATGCTACCTTACTTTGTGTCCGTCGAATCTTATTCCAATACCCAAAATCAGCGCAGAATAATAAGCGCCCAAGATGCAAACCACCAACCTAGTCACATCCCTTCGTACACATATAGGCAGTCGGTAGCCTCCAACTGGTATTCTCCCCACCAAGTTAATGCAGCCCCCCAAACGCCTTGCAGTAAAACAGCCTAGCCAACCCTTTTTGATCTTATATCATGCTATTTTGTGATTGCTCATCGATGTCCAATAAGAACAATTTCGTTTTCGTCTTCTTCGTCATCATCGTCGTCCTCCTCTTCGGCGTCTGAAAGTGTATCGCTAAGATCATCCAGCTCCGAATCTTCATCATTCTCAGATGCATTGTTGCCACGATTTCGAATTCTCCAAATTCCAAGGATATCGTCCTCCGACTCTTCATCTGGTGGCAGGTGTGCCATGATCGAGTCGAAACCCATATTGCCAGGGGACACTGATCGTGCAACCCGATCTGGAGCGCGGTATTGAGCCTCAACACCGTGGGACGAATGTCTGCGCCTGTTTCCCACTGTGATAGGTGCTCGGTTCCCACTCACAGATCCAGAAGCATCCCGTCCAGTTTCCACAATCGGTTGCATTTCAGCAGACGGCTGAGATCCTGCACGGTCACCTCCCACAATATTCAGTTCTACCGTATTATATGACCGGCATATGGAGCATTTCAGACCCAGCCAGTGATATCGAACAGTACTTTTTCCGGAGCAATCGTTGCACAGAATAACGGCAGTGGTATCCCGGAACTCCGGCGGCATGGGTTGAGTCTGGATGGCAACATCCAGATTTCGGAACTGGCTCTCCATATTCGTAAGACTCTTGTTGCAGATCGGGCATTTGTATGACACTTTCATATGCTGTTCGTAGCACTTCTTATGAATACTATGACCGCAAGCCATGAAGACCACAGGCCGTGGTGAAGTGAAGAGGTACTCGCCACAGATGGGACAGTCGCAATCTGTTGACCTCTCGATACACTTGTGAGAGCCCTCAATCGAGGTTGAGATGCATGCCCGACAGGTCTACAGCTAGTTAGCAATCACTATTATAGAGGCATGACTATTCTCACCTTGCAGTGAAAAAAGTCCCTGCCGAGGCCCATGCCTCGACGACAAATACCGCAGTCGTTACAGTGGTAAATGGGTTTACTCTGGCGGTTCTCCCATAGGTGACAAATATCGCAATAATAGTATGCCGACAACTCGCCGCAGTTGATGCACATGTCCGAGGCCTTCTGTGGTGTTGCACAGAGCATGCAAAGCATGTTCCTGGTCTCTGTACGGATGAGGTTGTGATCCTCGTTCGCATCGTGACAGAAACGACAGGTGTACCATTTCTTACATGTGAAGCACTGGAGCTTGACGTTTCGTTCGTAGTGTTGGCATCCAAGAGGTTGTTCCGTTTCTGGTACTACTTCTAAAGGTTCCACTGGAGTCTCACTTCCATGTCGTTTTGGAGGCTTCACAGGTACATACGTCGGTGCTTTGTCTTCCTCGCTCAAGATGAATATTTCCTCATCCGGTTGGTTCTGCCAGAACTTCAACGGCCTCGATACTGGCGACGACGGTGATTGCGACAGAGGTACATCCAAGCCTTCACCACTCTCGAGGATCTTCTTCACAAGCGGCACTGTCTTGGATGACTTATATCCCTCCAACAGAATATCATGGATTAACCGCGCTTTATCATTTTGGGGTATGTCTTGGGCGTTGATCGAATGGATTCGGGATCGCAGCTCGCGCATACCATCGTCTTCCGGAATCCGACGAGAACTGAGCGGGCTCAGAGCAATCCCTATATGATCGCGGGGAGGAGTTTCTTGGGACATGATTGGAACTGGTTCGGGTTCTTCAACTCTTGTTTCTTGGGTCGAGACGCTGAGGGGTCTGGTGAGGGGAGACTCGATGATCGGCACCGGTGCCGGCTCAGGTGCTGGCAGAGGTACAGGTACAGATACAGGCGCAGAGACAGGACTATCAGGATGGCCGGAATCGCTCACTGCGTCAGCGTGTTCAGTCGAGTCGCCTCCATCGCCAGTGAAGGTAGATCGCGAGATTTCGGAAAATCGACGAGCCTGACGCAAGACGGGATTGATGAGAAACTCTGAGACGAGGGAAGACATCAAGTTGGTAGGTAGGTTGGAGTGGAGGCTTAAAGTAAGTTGGGAAGAGGGAAAGGCCTAAGCGGCGATCCAAGATACCGTACGGGCGCACTAATAAGATAGAGGAGCTGGTTGTTTGGAACTGTACTGTATTGTACTGTACTGTACTTGTGCCGATACTGATACAGTGGAGGAGAGAGAAGGATGACAGAGACTGGCGCTGAAAGAGGAGATCTGGCAAGGTAGAAGAGAACTGCAATATAGTAATGGTACTGTAGCAGTGAGGAGAAACGGTAACGGCACAAGACCAGGCGCCTCAAAATAACGGAATGACGAGAGACTGGAGAAGCCAGAGACTACGGCGTCTCTAGCTCTGTTCTTCTGACTTTAGACTGGAGTTGGATGACATAAGGCGATTTTGTTCCCCAGTGACATTCAGTGGAGTTTTCCGAATAGCGGATGGTAAACGGAGAATATGCAGTAAGTGCAGCGTTTGGAACGATGAGAAGGGGAAGAAGATAGGGGCCGTTTTTTAGCATGTGACTGTGGATTGTGGTTCACAGAAGACCTCCAAATCTATTCTGTTTATGTGATTGCCATTGGATATCATAGATTGACTGTTAGCAACGAATTCAATCCCGTCGGTTTGCCAATTCAAAATCGACGGTTTCGCTCTCAGCCGTTGAAACCCCAGCTAACATTTTTGTCAGTTCCATAAGTACAAGGCAAGGTACGCTCCGATTACGGGAACGGATCAAACCGCATGTTGTCGTAACCTCAATCAGACGAGGATTCGGATATATAGGGAATGTAGTGGGGAAATTGAACGACAGAGGCAGAGGATCAGGATCAATGGTGCCAAAGACGGCAAAATACGGTGGAACAAATTGAATTCGGCGGTCAATCTCTTGGTTTTAGGCCATCTGTGTAAGCGAGGCACAGATGAGATCGGGGCATGTTCCGCTGAAGCCGTCAGGCCAGGGAGACCCTTTCTGGACCCTTTGAGATGCCTCCCTCGATACTCTACGATACTGAAAGAGTTCATAGCCCTGAAACTCAGTTGCTGAAGTAGTGTTCAAAGACCATTCACTCTGAGCTTATTCGTGTCTCATGATTCAGTACAAAAGACAAACAGAGAGAGGCTGTTTTTGCCCAGTAATTCGACGTTCATCAGTCATGACGATCCGTGGGTCCTTGAACGCCTTCGGCTCTGCATGTCTCTCTGCCTCTTCGCTTGCGCAGGGAGGTCGCAGAGATGGACGTCATTAGTAGGAGACAGCTGTCTGCTAATCAATGTCTCACTGTCTGAAGAGGTTGCAATCAGAATCAACGATTTGAAGAAGCATGTGACCTTCGACAAATGAAAATTTGATCGAGCAAAATGGTAGAAATCCCAGTGTATTGGTTCTTACTACTCCGTACTGACATGGAGACAAAAGCCTCTTTTAGATGTTGGTAGTTCATCGTTGACTTGACAGTGAATGTGACTGTTTCAATCTACCGATTTCAAGGTCAAGTGGAAACAAACACTTCAATCAGAGAAGCTTCAGAAACAGATCTCAGATCGAGGAACAGCAAAAAGAAACTGATCACGCTGGGGATCGAACCCAGAATCTTCTGATTCGTAGTCAGACGCCTTGCCATTGGGCCACGCGACCTCGAGTGTTTCTTGTCGTTTTTGCTCACTGGCGAGTAGATGTCGCTACCTCAAAGAGTCTGACAGAGAACGGCGCCACTTTTTTGAATTTCATCCCTGGATCCCTGCAGCTGATTGCCCCTAAAACATTCAGTGCAACGCGCTATCGAAGACGGACATGGGAGCTGGAAGGCTGGACTAGGCTGAGGTGGGGGTAGTATCGACTGGTCGGGAGCTCACGCCAAGGGGAGCCGTACGGGAGCAGCTGTTTAGCGTGGGTGACGACTCGCCCGTAGAGCATATGTGGCATTTCAGGGGACAGAAGAGATTCACTGTCGTGTAATATTCTTAGAACCACCACAAGCCGAACCGGTTCAGTTTCGTTTCTCTGGACTCGGGCATCTCCAGTTCTTTTTTTCTCTATCGTTTTCCCTCTCCTGATTCTTCTTCCTTTTTTTCCTCTTCCGACCTGTGTTTCTCTTCTATGATCACAGGGTTTTTAGAAACGGCTCCTTCGCTGAAGCTGGTGTTCCTCCCTTCTAGGTTCCCTTGAGTCTCGACAGCTCGTCCAATCTTTTTTTCCCTTCTCCCTCCTGTCGAGCTTACTTCGCCAGCATCAACCCCCTTTGGCCCCCATCAAACATCCATTCTGCAAACATCGCGACTTCTACCTCGACCCGGTATCTATACGATTGAATAATCATGGCTGCCGACAAGGCTGCCGTCGCCTCAGGCGCTGACCTGGGCGATGGTCTGAGACAGCGTCCTGTCGCTGGACAAGCTAACCTGCAAGTCCCGACTCCTCAGCCTGAGGACAACAAGAAGCTTGTCAAGAAGGTACTGCGCCTGTGTATAGAGGAAGTGCCATTGAGCAATACTGACCGCATCTCAGGAGTCCTCATTGCTCCAAACACTCGACCAGTGGGAGGTTGTCATTGCCCCGCTGATCTTCACTCTCCTGGCTATCTTCACTCGACTTTACAAGATTGGTATCAGCAATATCGTTACTTGGGATGAAGCTCAGTATGTCGAATTGACTTTGGCCGTCTCGTAAACCTT